CTCAGAAGAACCTACAAGGTGGCTAGCGGTTGGTCAGGCTACACTTCTAACAGGACACTTTTCAGTTCCAGAGAAAATCCTGCTGTCGAAGGGAAGTGATTCCAGCCTGAATTAAACCTCTCACATAGCTTACGTAGTCCTTCAAAATTGTGTATTTTCGTCCGCAGACTAAAATTATCAGAAAGCCCAGCAATTATGGATTACCATTCTTCTAGAAGTCTACATAATTCACTCTGCCAGAATCATAGCAAAATTAACAATACCGGAGAGGGTGGGCGCTACTATGTCCAGCTGGAAGATCATGCAGCATTGAGCAATCGTCATCGGGTAACCATGTCCGGGCGAAGCCAGAAGGAAGGGTACTGCTCGAATAGAACAATAAAGCCAACAAAACCAGAGCATTCTTTAAGTCCCCTCGCGCGCTTACTCGTAATTACGTATCGATATTCCTCCATCCCCGCTTTCACCCATGCCCCTTAGCGCTAGAAGGTGATTCATCGTGTCCCTCGACTGACAAAGAAACTTGGGGCATTCTTCTTGCACAGGCAAATCATGTGAGTTAACCTGCAACGAAGAGTAGGCGGAGGGAGCAGGGAAAGGAAACACCGCAATTTAAAATTTCAGGCAGCTACTTTACGGATCCTGAATGTTCTATCGTTCAGCTGAGCTGGCTTGCATAACTCAATACACTACATTAAAATGGAGGTTGGAAAGTTAGACGACAACAGGCCTTTATCGCGTTGCACCGGGTCACAATGGACCCAACAGTTATGACCACGTGGGGATGATACTTTAGCTTGCGGAGATCACAATTCTCGAGAGGGGTAACAATCGTGCGATTGGCGAGTTACTTGAGTCATGGTTTACGGTTAACATCAACTCTAACCATGGGTAACCTTGTATGATCCTCGTGTTCATCTGTTGGTTATCCAGTACCGTTTGAAGTAGTCTTTGTTGGATACGTTGGTTTTATTTGGCTTGAGTTGAGAACTTCGCTTTTTCCGCTATTTTGTTTTCCATTTTTCTGTTCAAGAAAGGTTTATTTCGTTCATATTTCAGAAAATCAACCTGTTGTTTAAGCCAGGTAGATATAATTTAGTATGAATTTGAAAACAAGCATCCCAAGAAATATAATTTGGTAGAAGAAATTTTTTTGGAAACGTAAAAA